AGACTTTAGGAGATTTTGCTGCACATACCGCACTAAGTCTCCAACCAATAAATGAGAGTAAGTGAATGCTTTTCTTTTGTTCTGTTTTTTGAGATATTGCATATGTGTTCCTAGATTGCTTAATGAATAAATTACAAAATAACAAGAAACACAATTCAAATACTAGATTGTTTGAGTTTTACATAAGAAATTAAAATTTTTCTAATTTACAATAAATTGCTTTATTTTGTTGCTTCTTCGTAACATCTTTTTTGTTATGTCAAATGAAATTCTCTTATCTAAAATTTAATTTTTTAAATGAAAAATAAAACTTTGAAAAGTTAAATCTAAAAATGTCAAGTGTATTTCTCTCAGTTTAGCAAGGACGAAAACATCATAGTTAAGTGAAAATATTGTTATTTTAACAAACATCTTATACAAAAGCTACAATATTTTTTGTTGCATGGTAACATAAGAAATGCTTGTGTAAATGTTTTTATTCAATCAATATATTTGAATTTGATTAACTTCATTGAATAGATAGTTTTGATTGAAACTAAATGTGTAAATGTTTTTCATAATTTTTTGTATTCATACCTCATTGACCCAAAATAAGGGATGTTGATTTGTTGATTCTCCAAAGCTCAAAAGATTTTCTGAAGAAAATATCTCCACCTTGTCACACCCATATAAGTCCATTCTCTTTAATGATGGCCACTTCAAAGGGACATATTTGGAGATGAAAGTCTCAAACGTAGGACAATTCCCTATAATAAGATCTTTCAATAAGGGAAATTCACCGTAACTTCCATGGCAGAATCTCGTGAGATTGGGAAGTTCTAAGAGCTCCAAAAGTTGTAGTTTAGGGAAAATGTGATCTATCATACCTTCTTCTATATCAAATCTAATTGAAAATGAGAAGCAACAAAAATCATAAAGTAATAATGTAATTATTATAAAAATATGTGATTAAAATGAGAAGCTACGCATGGAATTAATGAGTCAAGAGATGTGGCATTTGAATGAACAAAAGATAAATCAAATACCTCTTCACCGAATGGTGCCAACTCATGTTGAGGTGTGGAAGTAGAGCCCCCTGATTTGTTTTTAGAGCAGAAGCTAATGAGCTCCGGTAAAGATACCAGTGTCAACGATCGTAATTGTTGAAGCGCAATTCTATCAATTGCATCATTATCATTCATGATATATTGAATTTCCCAACCATAAAAGATGCAAAGGTGCTCTAAATGCAGAAAACCTTCCCTATTCTTCAAGAAACGTAGAACCCCATCATCCAAATGATCGATGCTTGTATTTACTTTGAGTCGTAGTGCTCTCGAGTATTCACTGCCAAAACAGCCAAATTCAGATCCAATA